AATATATGAATACATCTTATCACGGATTTGGAAGACTTATAGATGGCAAGGCAGACAAAACTTTGATAAGTTCGATCCTTGTCGACACAGTGGGTACGCTGGTTATTCGTACACCTATATATGATAGTCAGTTACTACTACATTATAAAAAGGGAATCAGCGTATGACGATAGCGGGGTAAGTAAAATCATTTTAATGCTCAGATATGGCATCATCCATTAGTCTTCGAAAAATAACGTTTCCCTCAAATATACTATCAAGACAGAAAAGAATGTAATTTTACTCCAGTACTTGAGCGACTACGTGTCTGAAATGAAAAAAAAATTAATGATTTAAGAGAACAGAATAAATTGTCAGGTTTTAAAAGATCTGGAGAAACAAGCTACGTTCGTTGGACTAGAACATGAAGCGTTAAGGGAAGCCATTTACGATTGCAAGTAGAAAGAAAAACGTGCAACTCGTGCAAAGGGGGGAAAAATTGTTTCAAATTAAAAGTATTGCTTTCGAGAAAGTTTCCTCCCTCACGAAAACAAAACGAACCCAAGATTTTCATTTACTTTTGATATAAGCATCACAAACGTGGTATTTTAAAATTTAGCCCGTGCGGAAAATCATAACGTTAAATAAGAAAAATATAATAAAATAAAATATAAAATGCGAAACACACATTGATTCTTCATATTGGACCATTTTTAACACAACCATTATGAGGGTTAATCAATTACTGTGTGCAAGATTAATCAAAGAGAATTTTACTAATGTAACAATATTTTTAACGAAATTAAAATTGCAAACGTAAGATATAGTTCGGATGAGGAAATTTGAAAGATGTAATTGCTTGCGGCGAGTCAAATATAAAACAGATGTGATTTTGTTGCTTTTAAAGTATTGATCTAGTTTTTCAGCCTTTTTCCTTTTTTCTTTTAAGTTTAATTATTTAGATGAGGTTCCAAGGACTCTCCTACTTCATTGTAAATAGTTTTTATGTAGATTCCTCTACGCAAACAGCTACAGCCGTTATTGTTAATGAGAAAAATATAAATTTAGTTCCTCATTTTCAGTCAACTTTAGCCAAGCAGATTTTGGTCTGTTCGATGTTTGAATTGTACTTGAAATAACACTGTAAATGACCTCGATCACTGATCGAAGCTAGATATTTTTATGAATCATCAATTCGAGATTGAGCGGGGGTCGAGGTGCATATCGAGAAATCCAAGCAAAATAAATGTCCAGGTGAGTTCCGAATTTTTGTATAATCGGCACTTGTAAAAATAGAACTCCTTGTTAATAAAAGAAGAAGAAATGAAAATCGATGAGGACTTTTTTGTCCCCATGTTTTGACTACGAATATGCTTCAAAATAATTACCTGTCTAATTTGTCATTTTGAACACTGAAGAAGAAGTGTAATTTAAGGATTTCATTTTCCTTCTCTTGATTGATGCCATCTCTGTGCGGGCTAAGAAAGCGGTTTTCTCATTATTGATATTTCAATTTCTTCACCGGATTTATTGGTGCTTTTTGATGAAAGATTTTGTTTTTAAATGTTTTCGACAAACATCACAAAATAAAATAACTTCCTTGGCGATTGATAACTGTCAACAGAGTTCGACAGGTCTCTGGTACACATGTTTTGATTTTGACTCTCAGCATATCGTCTTGCTGAAGGAAAAATATATTGATAGATGTCAATTTGAGTCAAGTTTAAGCGTGGAGGAAAAATATATCGATAGATGTCAATTTGAGTCAAGTTTAAGCGTGGCGTAAACCGTGGTCCAAGAAAGCGGCTGCGTCATTACTGATATTTCATTGTCTTTGTCCGATTTATTTGTGCCTTTTTAATGAAAGATTTTGTTTTCAAATATTTTCGACAAACATCACAAAATAAAATAATTTTCTTGGCAAATGATAACTGTCAAGAGAACACGACAGGTCACTAGTAAATTTGTTTTAATATTGATTTTTAGCATATCGTCTCGCTGAAGAGAAAAATATATTGATAAATGTCAATTCAAGTCGAGTTTAAGGCGGGGCTTAAACCGAGGTCCAAGAAAGCGGTTGTGTCATAACTGATATTTCATTATCTTAATCGCATTAATTGGCGCAGTTTGATGAAACATTTTGTTTTTGAATATATTCAACAAACATCACAAAATGAAATAATTTTCTTGGCAAATGATAGCTGTCAAGAGAACGCGACAGGTCATTGATGAATATGTTTTAAAAATGATTGTTAGCATATCGTCTTCCTGAAGAGAAAAATACATTAATATGGAGAGATTAAGTATCCTCATAATTTTCTCTTCGTCGAAAACCAGTTGAATGCAACGATACTGGAGACAAACTTGGTCTTCCGTCATTATGTATGAACTTCTACAATTTGCGATAGTCTGACCATGTACAAGAAGAAAATTCGAATTTAGTGCGGCACTAAATTCTTCAAGGAAACAACGTTGTATGCGAGCCACTTTGTTTCTTTAATCTTTACACAAAGTAAAAGCACTGGCAGGAAATAAAACTACGTTTTAGTCAAGAGATCGTACTTGCAATACAAAGCGATCACGGTAAAACACCCTTTGAAATAGTACATAATTGAGATTGTGCATGAAGAGCAATTTTCAGTTCAGAATAACGATTTGAATACTCAAAAATCGGCGAGGTTTTCTTATTTAACAAAGAAATTGGTAAATACAAGCTTTAGTTCACAAGCTTTTAATCGCGAGTGTCATAATCTCCATAACATTTTAGACAAAAAGTGAAGTTCTTAAATTGTCAAAGCTACGATTGCGATAGATCTCTATCGTTTCAAAGTGAAAGTGATGCGTGCAATGATCGTCATGAACTTGGCAGTTTTTCCTTCTTTGTCTTTACTACGAAGTTCTTTCTTAGTCCGGCATCGCTTTTAGCAGTATGTATGCCTTGATAATTTAGAAATCTTATCTATTCTCGATGAAAGAAGCGTCCGGTAGATTTACAACCATACTTTTCCCACGATGATTCGCTTTTATCGTCGGCCTTTGTCCGCCCTATCTCCGTCTTGTTAAAGAATAGCGGAGATCTCTCTCAAGATCCAAGGTCAAATGCGAGTCAGTGACTTATTCTTGAGACGTATGGCATCTTTATACTAAATAGAACCATTTCTATTTTTCAAGCTCAAACATGACTTATAGATTTAGCCGAGTCATGGTAAAAGACCTATAGGGCCGTCCCAGGCTCCGAACTCCTAATGCAAGTGAACGCTCTTTGTTAACACTTCGACCCTAAGAGTGACCAGCATCTAGTTTTTCCTTACGATATCACCCTTGGATCACACATTAGGGTCGCGAGAATAAAATAAATAATCACCAACTAAAGAAGCTCTTGATTGTTAAACAAATTCTCCTTGTCAGCATCTTGGGAAATATATGGAGAACGATATGGAGATTATGCATACTGATGTTAGGAAGTAAAAGGTTGAGGAAAAGTGATAAAAAGGATTAAAAAAAAAGGATCAAGCAAATTAAGTCAGTGTTATGCTCAAAAGGAGACAATAAGATCAGTGAGAAAAGGACTGACTTTCCCTCCTCCGCCACACTTAAACGCAAACACATGCAACAGGATATCGTACCCACGCTAAAGCCCTAGAGAAACAATACAAGAAACAAACAGAAAACAAAGGACAGAAACAAAAACAAAAATTGTTTTTCAGTCTAAAAGACTCCACAAAATTTTCAGTTGAACGCTAGCGCTTGAAATCTAATGCGTATAAACTCTAGGCACTGCATGCGAGAGTATCTGACCAATATTTGAATCTAAGGATTTCGAGATTGCCCCTACGAAGAATCTTGGTTTGAGCTAAACGAAGATCAGCTGGAACAAACTTACTGGGCGGTGACCATCAGAGACAGGTCTTTGTTAATATGTTCTGAATTCCAGTTCATTTACACTGTTAGGAAAAGAAAAATGCTCGAGTTCATGATATTCGTGAAAATTACTTTATATAAAAGGATTCCAAGGCCAAAATTGTGCTAAGTTACTGCACTTTTAACACAAGCTCAACGTGAAATGATAGCAGATCAAATGCGAGTAATCTTGTTGTTTTGAGACCGGTGGAGCAGGTGTTAGGAGATTTGAATAAGACCCAACTATCAGAAATTCACTCAAATTGTGTACATTATCCAAGCGAGAACTAGAGGGTTTCTAACGTGCAAAGACGGGAGTGTTTCGAAAAATGGTAGGTTATTTAATTTTGCCAGCTGCAAAACCTGCGATTTTTCAAAATATCGTTTCAACTGAATTTTTAAAGCGGCTGAAGTCATAACATTGGAAAAGAAAGCTGATAGTTGGCTTAGTTTGCACCATAAGGCTTCGAAAGAGCCGTGTTCAAATTAATTTCAGTTTTTGCAGTCTTCAGATTAACAATAGCTCAGCCATAGAAACTGCTTATTCATGTAAACTTGATATAAAACAATCGAGATTCGTGTAATTTAATACCCTTTATTCTGTACCTTCACAAATCTTGAAATATGTTCATGAATTGCACCGGTTAGTTGTTCAAATCTTTATCACATTATACTGCTTTCCATCAAAAATGTAAAGAAAAATATCCTAGGTAGTTAGTCGGTGTGCTAAAGCTTTTAAATGGCTTGGTAAGGTTCCAAGATTAGCATTCTTTTTCTCAAATAGAAACACATTATTCGTGGATAATAGCCCAATTTAAATAGTAATGCAAGTAATGTTAGAGGCACCATATAGCACAAAGCCAGAGGGTAGATAACCATTTCTCTTGTTACGTCAAAACGATTTTCGAAATCAATGGAAAACTCAATAGCCTTATGTATATATACCTGTGAAAGGAAAAACAAGCAAAACCTCAGTTTTAATTAAAATCCTGACACTGCGAGCATTACTCTCTCCAGCAAGTAAACAGAATTTTAAAAAGCTGATTCAAAAGAAAATATGGGATGCTCATCTATTATTATGCTAATCTTTATCTTAATGTGTGGTTTTTCTTATCTCATAGAGTTCTGGCTCAAAAGGGAAAACATTTGTTTGGATTAAACGTTCTCAGCTTCCACCATCCAAGAGTCAATTTGAGTCCGCGGGATAGTTCGCGAGAAGACGTCTGGTCTGAGACATTTAATGATTTTTTTCCGAGTATTTTAAAAAGTAGGCAGATGGCGGATTGATCCACAAACTAGACCTGGGGGCGGCGATATATTTTAGCAAAGAATAAACAGGTATTAATTTACTACAATGCGTACGTGATGCCCTCAAGTCACTCAGATAACTTCAAGTTCATTTGAAAGAAAAGAATATTTATCGTACTCAAATATGGAATGCTTTTTGATAGCCTGAACTGGTGGTAAAGTTACACAATATATTTCATTCAACGACGATTCAATATAGCAGACATCAGAGCTGAAATCAAGACTGAAAACTCTTCACAAACTTCCTGTAGCTGAAGAGGAAATATTAAAGACTTCTGGCTTAAAACGGGATGCTTTCAAACACTCGGTGGTAAAGTGACTCATCTTAGATTACTTACAACAGGGACCCTACAACTAGGAATTCAACGGCAAACAATTCCGAAACAAACAAGCTCCAAATTTTCCTGAGAACTCATGATAAGTGACCATATTTTTAAGACCTTTTGCAAATAGAAGAGGTAAAAAGATGAGTGCTACTCCAGAGCCTGAAAAGAAAATCAATAATACATTTGCCGAAACAGAGCCAGAATCCTTCAATAATGTTCCGACAGCTGAAGGAATAGCTGAACCTCTACCAGAATGGTCGAAGGCGATCGATGAATGGGGAATTATATGGGATTTTCACCAGTATGGCTTAGGTGCAATATTTGCCTTCGTTTTCTTCTTGATTGTATTTTCCCTATGGAAGCGATTCAAAGGAGCTCGAATCCTCAAACAAAACAGGGTACCCATTGTTGTTTTGAGTCTTCTCGGGTTGTTTTGCGTCACGAGAAGTTTGTTCCTCTGCATGGATGCGTATCACTGGCGGAAAACTGCACCATATTATGTGATCAACGTTCTTTGGGGTATCGGACAGCCTTGCATCATAACTGCTTACACCCTGATGTTTATAGTGTTAAGGAACGCGTTAATACTCAAGCAACGGTTTCAAAAATGGTACAACACAAAAAACATTGCCTTAGCAACGCTGCCATATTTTTTCTTCGCGTTTGGGGCAGAACTTGCAATTTTTTTCGTGCCCAAGTTCAAAGGCCTCATCTTTGCTTGCCAGGTTTTGTACATTTTATTTGGTTTTTCCCTTACGGGGTTTTACTTTATGATATCGATTTTAATCTGGAAAAAATTCAAACTGATTGACTCAACCAAGCGTTGGGCTACGGAGCCAGCGGAAAGTCATGGATCGCGCACGCGTGCAATTCTCCGCACGTGTCTCGCAGCGGTCTTGGGCGGCGCTTTGATTTGCGTTATGCAAGTCTACGCAATGGCGGGCGTCTATGGCGTTTTTTCCGATGCGCGCTTCGTTTCTGCGGGGCCGTGGTTGGCGTTTCAAACAATGTTTCGTCTTGTGGAGATTTACATGGCAGTTGTGCTGTTTTACGCCGTCAGTGCAAAGAGCGTTGCAAAGAAAGGTGAAATGACACCGACCACGATTGTGTCTGCGGAGATTCCTGAGAATGTTAACGCTGTCGAATTGCAAAATGTTTGACTAGCAAATGATTTTCCTTGCTGAGAAACAGGAAAACTAATGCTCAAATTTACTACCGATGAACTCAATGGTCGTTTTAGAAAGAGGGAAAAGCTAATTTTGTTATAAACTCATGTAATTGTGTTGCTAGACTAAGGACGTTTGGGCACAAAAACTAGGGGTGGGTTTAACTTGTGAAACAAAGATATCAAGTAATGCATCAAACCTATGTGCCCCGTATAAATTTCAATCTGAAAACACTAAAATGATCAATTTTCAGTCCATCTTGTGTGATGGATAATGATTTCTGTCCTAACCAAGTACAATGAAACTAGTGGTTGAAGCACTTACCCGCTAGACTTGGGCAGTAAAAAAATTTATCTGGATTAGATTGGATTTTTTTTAAAAATAATTCATTGGGCGTAATGTTGACAAGGCCCTAAGTGGCTGAAAATATTTTCACGAAGTTAATTAAGACAAGGTTTTAAAATACTTGTTTATGACATATTTTCACTAGTATTAGTTTGCTTTTGAAGAAGCATTACTTAACAATTACCTGGACTGTAACCTTTGAGGATAAATAATAAAAGTCCTTTGTTTATACTGGCTTTCGAAAACAAATATTTTCATCCTAGATATAAGCGGTAGACCCTGATCAGTGTTAGTTCCTACGAAATAAAAGAACTTATTACAGTCGTGTGTTGCGAAAAAACCACTTGGATCCCAAAAACAAAACTGAACAACATAACATGGAAAGAATAAAGACAAATAACAGTGACAACGTGAAAAGAGGAAACGAACGAAAAAAGAAAAATCCAGCAATATTTGTATTGCAGAGGAACAATCGCTCAGTAGCATGTTACAACTGGTTACGCAAGCGGAAATCCAGGCTTGGGATTCAAAGCGAACAGAGCTGCTAATTGATTCATGCTCTGCAACTCATTTGTCATCTAAAACTGAAGAAAGCCCAAGGAACTGGACAACGGTCTATCGAACTAAATGCCGATCGCGGACAAAACCTTGAACACAATTTGTAACAGGCGAAAGATAATTTTATTCTTCCAAATATTACCACTTTACTTTGAAATAAAAACTTCCTCTCACTTCAGTCCTTTTGTGATGTTTGCGGTTTCATCTTTTTCATCTAAATCATATACCGAGATATGTTTTTGTTTTCTTATCAGACGCTATTAATAGAGAGAAAAGGGACGGGAGCGGTAGGATATATCAGCTTTTGTTGAAAAGAAGTTTAGATTTAGGTTAGTTGTCTCAAAAGTTTTTTCCACGTATGTAAGAAGAGTTCGACACAGCATCATCATAACAAATCTTAAATAACGTTTTCATTCATCTATAAATAATCAAAAGCAATTAGCTTTTGAAATAAACTAGAATCTATTTTTCCAATTTCATTTTAACTGGGTGAGCCGCTGGTGTGGCTCCCAATTCACTAAGTCTGATATTACCAAACAATACCTGCTTTAAGTTTTTAATGAGGAAAGCAATTTATAATCTTGTTTTTGTGGAGCAAGTACAATCGCTATGACAGCTGGTTGTTGACGCTTTTTTGTTGCATGTTACGCCATTTACCTCATAAACTGCATCTGACGGGAACGATGTTTTTTCACAGCTTCGACTAAAAGCTGTATTTATCTTGTTTGATCGATATTCAGAACGGTGGCAAGATGTTTTGAAGATGTTTCAGCCGTTTTCAGACTTGAACATTTGACTGAGCGAACAATGAGAAGAGTTCATTCCCTGAATAGAAACCAATCTATACTTAGTTATTACAGTTAACAGGGAAAAAAAAAAGCTTACACCGCGAAAACGACTTCAATCGACGGATTGAGGTTAGGAAATTTATCGCTCAACACCGTTCACAACAATATGACTCCAGAACCAGAAACTGCAAAACCAACGGCTAAGACCGAAACCACTCCTAAAGGAAAGTACCGCGGTTGGGCCGAGGCCGAACCATCAGCTGAACCAACGGCCGAAACTCAGCTAGAGTGGGAAAGGGCTGTGGAAACTTGGAGAGTTAGGGATTTCACCAGTACGGACTCGGAGCTTTTATTCGGCGCCATCAGTTTACTAGCGTTTGTGACGCTGGTAAAAATCATTAAAAGGGATGGAGGAGCTCGACAAAAGAAAGTGTCGATAGTGGTGCTGACTCAAATCTTCCTTTTCGGTTCAACAAGATGTCTCTTTCTGTGTATTGACGCCTACCTCTCAAAGAGGCTTGTTTCAGCGAAGGTGATGAGTCTTATCTAGGAAATTGGACAGCCTTGTTTGATTACAGCATTTCTGCTGATTTTCCTTGTGTTGCGAAATGCTTTAGTGAGATTTAGCGAGATTCCAAACCTGGTATACGACAAGAAACGTAGCCTTTGTAACTATGCCCTACCACATCTTCGTGTTTACAGCTGAAGTGATTGTCACTTTTATTCCCGCTTACAGAGGCTTACTACTAACTTGCCAGATAATAAACACACTCCTATATATATCAACCTTGGCCTTCTTTTTCTCATACATTTCCTTCCTGATTTGGAAAAAGCTTCGCACTGTGCGAGAAGGTTCGTCGAAGCCTCTCAACAGAGCAACGCAGACATTTTCTGTTTTCAAACGTTGCGTAACAGCCAGCGTAGGCGGCTTTAGTATCGCCGTCATGCATCTTTTCGCCGCGGTCATCGTCAACGGCGCTTTAGCCCATGCGCAATTCATTTCGCCGTGGCCTTGGTTCGTTTTCATGACGTTAATGCGGTGTCTGGAGCTGGCAATGTCCTTACTGCTGTACACGATAAGTGCGCACAATACCGCTGGTAAAAAAGCTTGTAGGAAGATAGATGTGGCACCGATGACCGTGATACAGCCCAAAACTGTCAACTATTCGGAGATAGATGATGACAAATAAGCATTGAAAGAGCTAGACCACAATCTTCAACACCCAAACAACGCTCATAGATAGTACGGCTTTATCAAAAATGCCGAAAATGTCGAATATAATTTAGCATCAAAATAGTGTATCTGCCTTTGCAGTTTTACAAACTTTCGAGAAACCTCAAGCCTGTAGATGCTGTCATGTAGACTACTGGGCAGCGGCAGAAAGGTGATATAAATATTTCCATATTGGACGTCTTTTCCAGGAGAGTCTCTTAGCCAAACCTCTTACCTTAGGCTTGTAAGTCTTCTTTGATTTCTGGTACATTTTTAATCGTTTTTAATTGAATATAGATACACAGACTGTATTTTTCCAAGTCTTACTTGACAAACAGTCAAGATAAGCTAACGCGACAAAATGCGTAATTAACTTTAAAAGTATCGACAACAGTATAATCAGGCAATAGTTCTTGAATTTTGTCTTCAGACTAGAGTACAAAGATACAAGCAAAAATTTGTAGTGAAAACTGTAGTTATAGCATTTTCTCCTCTGAGCTGCGTTGATAGTAACCAAATTAGAAATAATCGTGTAGACCGATTGTCCAAGAGAGAATTATCCTGACAGAGACTGTTATCGGAAGAAGCGACTCGGACGTTTCGACAACCTTAGCAGACGTCATCATGATAATCAAATAGCCCATTTCCGAATTACCCTTGGCCTCATTTTCAAAACGAGTCCTGGTGCACATCCTGTCATATGATAATAAGTTTTCATTCACATGCAAATTAAACTCATTTTCACAAGAATGATTGAGCACCAGGCCTCGTTTTGAAAATGAGGCCAAGGGTAATTCGGAAATGGGCTATTCGAGTGGATGCGACCATCTTTGCTTTTACTGCTGGTGATGGTCCAAATTTAAAGTAACTGTTAATAGAGTTGCCAAAGACACTAACACTGACTTATAATTTTAATTTTATTGTTATATTATAGTTGTATTTTATCTTTGAGGAATAAAAGAAGCTTGGAACAACATTTTTCTCCGGTTCTTATCAATTTTTCTCTTTAACAGTTGTGGTTATTCCCCCTCTGGCTACGAACTGGAAAATTTTCGGAACCAAGAAGGGGAAAAAGGAAAAACAATTACCCTAGGATGCATGTCAATATTCGATTCGTCCTAATAACTTGTTACACCTGTTTTTCAAATCTCAGTATGATTGTCCGTTTAAAACCAAGGAAGATGTTGCACTTCAAAAGACGAAAATTTCACTCAGATATTAAGTCTCAAGCCCTCAGCAAAGCATTGACGACGGCCTTTACATTAAGGCTCTTCAAGTCGCTGTAAGTCTGTCCTGTGCCCACGAACACAATCGGCTGGCCAGTGGTGTATGTCATGGAGATAGCAGCACCAACCTGATAATAGTGATAAAGGAAGCGATAATTAAACTTCAAAGGTGGTGAGCAATGTCTAGTGGCTTAGTAAAGGTGGTTGCAGCAAATTTAAAGATTAGACAAGTGCTAAACCGCGTAGGTCTTTCTGGACCACATCTCGATTGAATAACGTAAAAACAAAATCATGGACGACCTAAAAGGCCGATAAGAACAAAGGAAAATATTACGAGTAGTCTGGACTGTCGTCGACAACTCGAGTTCGGTCTTCCACCCTTCTTTCTGCTAGGAAAGGAGCGCGGGGTCATTTCCTAGACAGCGGCTGGGAAAGGAAGCTTAAATCACAAGGAGCCGATTGGAACTAATACTAAAAGCAACGACCCGCCTGAAGGGCGGGAAAATGCTAGGGGCCATGAGTTTTCGAGACCAATCACAGACTCAGGCCAAAGAAAACCAAAATCATTCACATCCTGAAACAATTAGATCTTAAATTGAAAATCTCTTTGTAGCACATTAAAATACCTTATCATCGATGGTGTCAAACTTGGTGAGCACAATACCATCGATTAGACGTGGGTTATCAGACATTGAAAAATCTGCCAGAGCCTGGTTAAACTTCTTCAACTGGTCCACGGCTTCATTCCCTACCAGGGCCTCTCCGACAAACAGCACCAAATCAGGACAGTTGAGTTTGATCAACTAAAAAAAAAAAAAACCCAAAAACGTAAGTAAAATATAAATTGTTCTCAGTAGCCAAACTGGCAAGCAGCACTTCTTGAAGTAAAATATTCTAAGAGGCGTTTTATGTAACTGTAATTGTAGCCTTCTTCTAAGAGTTGTACAAAAGTACTAAAAGGCTAAACCACGCCGTACTTCACTCTTCTTACATTTACTGTCATTTTTTCGTTTTCCATTTAAATTAAAAAAAGACAAAGGAAGACAACAAACAAGAACAAAAGCTGATTACTTTGGACAAAGCTCGCATCAAAGGCTCATTGTCCTGCATTCTCCCAGCCGTGTCAACCAACACAACGTCGATGCGTTGTTCCCTGGCTGAAGTACACACAGATATCAAGGTGAATCAGTACAAAAGGGAAAATCACATCAAAGAGAGAACTCGAATTATAACAGCCAAAGTAAAGCACGNTTGTTAAATAAAAGAAAACTCTTTTGCTACAATGTATCAATGTTATGTTATAAAACAAGTGGTAAACGCCACAGTGTACACTATTGAATTATGGATGCACTTGGGAGGTTTGCTAAGCACTCAAGAACCGCCTCCCGGTTAGCTCAATTGGCTAGAGCGCTGGACTGTTGTGCGGGAGGTCGAGGTCGATGATTCGAGTCCCGGCCGGACCAACACTCAAGGTCATAAAAAAACTGAGGAGAATGCGCTACCTTTCTACAAGAAATGGATAGACATTCTAGTCTTTTCGGATAAGGACGAATAAACCGTTGGTCCCGTCTCCTGCATCTATTAATTAGTTAATTTGGTTAGGCAGCGGACGTTAAAGAACCCACTCACGAGATTACCGTGATGTGGTCTGGCCTGTTTATTGGGAATTGGGGGGAAGGGGGCATCTTCAAATAGGTTTCCTTCGATTGTTTGTAAACTGTTGATGCAGTCCGGCCAAAGTCCTCCGAGAAGTGTCGTGATGCGCATTTGATCATATCCACATGTTAATTTGCGCAATACAAATATTAAATTGTTTGTTGTTGTGTTGTTAAGAAGCTAGAGTCGCTCTCAGCTATCGCCTCGCGCGACTCTTACACTTCTTTCGTGCTTAGTAACCTCCCGGGTGCATCCATAACTCAATAGTGTACGCTGTGGTGTTTACCATTTGTTAAAGTGATACACTTGTTGAGTGAAGCTTACCAAAATTGATAGCATCCATGGCAATAGAAGCTGCATCTTTACCGTAGCCTTTCTCATACAGTAAGACAGATGGAGGTCCACTGCCACCAGCTGGGGGATGGAGAGCGTTAAGGTGTCGTACATGAGTCCTGAGCTGCTCCACAGCACCAGCACGGAACGTGTCACATGCGGCAATCATGACACGGAAACCATTGTCAAGCAGCCAAAAGCAGATCTGAAAACACAAAATTACAAAGAGAAAGAAGGTTGCATTTAGCGGGTAGAAACCAGTCGAAGTCTTAATTTTTTTCAAGCTTCTGTTTTGCAATTTCTTTACTTGTAGCACATAAAAAATAATGCCACGTTAGATTTCAAGTCTTTTCCAATCAATTGACAAAAACAAAAGAAATGTACGTGTTCCTTTAAAGTGTGCACCGTTACTAACCTTGGCCAAATTGGTTGATTTTCCAACACCATTTACACCACAGAAGGTAATAGAAAACGGCTTGCCACGTTTCTTAGCATCCATTGCATCACGCAAGATGTCAATTCTTCTTCGCGGCGACAAAATCTGGACCAAAGATTCTTCCAAGCTTGCTTTCACTGTTGATGTTACACCTTTCAAGAGAGAGTGTAAATGATAAGTAAACAAACATGTGAACTTAGGTAAAACTTTTCTACACTTCAGCGGACAGAAATTTCATCTTAGTCTTTATACCAGGCTGGCCACATTTTAACTTTTCCTAACGACAAGCTGGGCGCTTAAAATAATCAATATTGTCTTTAAATATTTAGGTACTGTTGAAGTATTAAAAGAAAGCTGATAAGCACTAACAAATGCTGGGAAGGGGGGGGAGGGGTTCCTTAATAAT